AAAAGAAAAGAAAAGAAAAGAAAAGAAAAGAAAAGAAAAGAAAAGAAAAGAAAAGAAAAGAAAAGAAAAGAAAAGAGACATAAAACAGGCAGGGGCACAGAGGGAGTCCAAGGGGACCGGCGCTTGCCAGGGTTCCAGGAGATGTGAGGCGTTGCCACTCAAGGAAGGCAAAACTTCTGCTGAGTGGACAGTGCATTCTGCAGGCTGCAGGACACCACTGTTAGCAAGAGGGAATCACATCGTAGCTGTGACCGTTAGTGCTCTAGCAGAGCGGGGGGACACATTGAAGGAGGAGGAAGGAGCGCTCAAGTGGCTTCTACTGAAGCAGGCTCGATTTTGTGTACATACTGACAGAAAACATTTCAGCACAGGCACTGAGGAGGCCGCAACCAACCACCACCACTCTCAACATTACAGCAGGCTGAAGCAAGAGCTTCAGCTGTGAGCCCAGCCCGGGCAGCTTAGCAAGATCTTGGCTCAAGATTAGAAATCAGAGCTGGGCATGATGCTCTACACTTGTCATCTCAGCATTTGGGAGGCTGAGGCAGGATTGTCACGAAACCAACGCCACCCTGAGCAACATAGTGAGCTCAAGGCCATCCTGAGCCACAGAGTAAAACCCTGCCTCGAAAAACCAAAAGAGAAGGAGGGAGGGAGGGAGGGAAGGAGGGAGGGAGGGAGGCTGGGGATGTAGCTCAGTTTGAGGCTCTGGATTCAATACCTAGTACTGCCACTAGCGATAACAATAATACCCTTGGCAAGCTGTGGACATACAGGTCTTCCGGGCTGCACACCGTAGGCCAGGCCCTCTCCCAGGCCTGCAGAAGCCCACAGGGGCGGTCTGGGTGCTGTGTGCAGTCTCTCCTCTCCTTCCTCACCCAGAAACCAAGAGCTGTTTCTCTTCCCACCCTGCTGTAAGTGGGTATTGGATATTTTAAAGTAGCTTCAGAGCCAGGCCAGCACTCAGGAGGCTGAGGAGAATCCCTGTGAGTTCAAGGCCAGCCTAAACTACAGAGTGACCCTCCTCTGCCCCACTCACCAAAAGAACACTTTCAAAACAATATCCGTGTGATTTTTCTTCTCTTTCTCCTTTCTCTACCAACTTCTGGCCTTTTTCTTTCTACCTTTGGACTTCCCTGGGCTCCCTGTTTCTTTTGTATTATTTTTCTTACTTCCTCAAGGTATATAAAGCAAATATAAAATTTACGTTTACAAAAGATTTAATCTCACATCTGAGTGAATGTCGAAAAATAAATGAACAAAGAACCAGGAAATTAAGCCAGGGAGATAGCTCAGCAGCAAGCACAAGGTCCTACACTTAATCTTAACCAAAAGGCCGAGAACCGATGAAGCACAAGGCCCCAAGTTCAATCCCTGGAACGAAAACAAATGAACAAACAGGAAATAGCCATTAGAGAGTTTCTTTGTTTTTGTTTTACTTTATTTTTGTTTTTTTCTGTGACAAGGTCCCACTGTTTAGCCCAGGCTGGCCTCAGACTCATGGCAGCCCTCCTGCCCCAGCCCCCAAGCTGCGTGGACTCCAGCCACACTGTCCCACATTTGGCAGATTTCTTTCTTAAAGGGTTTTTGTTTCTCTGGATGAGAAGAGAAGATAAGTTGTCATCTCCCTGTCCAAATCTTTCCAGGTTCTTGGCTTCCCTCAGGCACGTCACCTCTGACCTAGGCTGAGGAAGCGCACCACAGACCCAGGACAGTTGGATATCCAATGGCCTGCAGGGAGCATGGGGCCAACACCTGGGACCCAGAAAGGCCCCTGCGCAGCCCAGATTCTATTGCTGAGCCTCTGAGTCCAGGGCCCTCCTTCTCTGGGCCTTGTCAAGTAGAGGAAGACATCCCTGCTTTCGAGGAAGGCACCCACAAGTCCTGCATTGCCAGGGCCCAGAAGCGGTGCTTTTTCTTTGAGAATCATGGCTTCCCTTAGCTGGTCATTTTGTGGCATCTGGCAAAGCTCAATGTTCGGTTGACATGGAGAATCATTAGCTCAGCCTTTGTAGATGTACTAGAAGGTGCCAGGCACTGTGGCCCACACCTGTAATCCCAGCACTTGGGAGGCTGAGGTGGGAGGATCGCCACAAATCCTAGGCCAGCCTGGGCTGCACAGTAAGATCTCATCCTCAAAAGCAAATGAAAAGGTGTTTCAGAAAAGCTGCAGCCTCTGATTTGGGAAAAGTGGGAAGGTGACTCCTGGGACTCCTTCCCTGGTCCTAGATCCGGGCCCGGTGCCTCAGAACAGATGCCACCCTGGGGCACATCCACAGCAGCCGACAGATGGGCAGGGTCCGCCCCCAGTTCACACAGCAGAGAACAGGGAGGGGTCTCCTAAGACAGGAGCTGGTAAGTGTTGGGACAGAGACTCAGACACACGGGTGTGGGTGTGTGTGTGTACATGCTATTGGGGGTGAACCCACAGCCTTCTCACTGAGCTATAGCCTCAACCTCTTCATTTTGAGACAGGGTCTTGCTAAGTCAATAAACTGCCCATTGAAGTGCTCAAACTTGGAACCCTCTTGCCTCAGCCTCCGAGGCTGCAGGGCAGCCAGGTGGGCACCACCACTCCCAGAGGGGCCTGAACTCTGGACTTCTGGGACACCGATGTCTCTCTAAGCTGTGATTTTTTTCCTTTGGGGATGTTGAGAAAGGGAGAGTGGACTCACGCAACTAATTTTTCAGCTGAAGAGGAAAAAAGCATCGCAGAGATTTGAAGTCTGATTGGAAAGAAAATCAGCAGACTTCAGTGAAAAGAATCATTGCAGAGGGGCTGTCAAGGGGTCTCTGGGACAGGATCAGGAGGCAAATGTCGCACCTGAGCTTTTCAGTGGGACCCGTGACACAGGGAAGAGTATGCAAGCTGGGCGCAGTGGCACACTCCTGTTGTTAGCCCAGCACTGGGGAGGCTGAGACAGGAGAAGCACCAGAAGTTTGAGACCAGCCTGGGCTACATAGTGAGATAGTACCTCAAAAGAACAAAAACCAAAAGGACAAAAAAGGAAAGGCTGTGTAAATGCGGTGCACTGTGTGGGCGGAGATGCTGAGATACTGGATAGCGCCGGGGCTTATGCTGGGTACTACGTGTTGTCCAGCCAGCCTGCTGCATGCACAGTAGAGCAAATCACTAGAAAAGCCTGGGACGTGAAGCTTGAGATTGTAAATCGAGAGCAGCCCAACACACTGCCATCTCTCCCCGAGCAGTGCTACCTGGTTGTCCCTTTCATGTTCTGCCTGGGTGCTTGCCCTGCCCCTTCTTCCCGCCTGCGGTCACCAGGTACAGGGAGTCCTGGGACACCAGGCCGGGGGTGCAGTGACCAGTGCTCCACCTGGCCCAGGTGGTCCCCAGAGCTCAGTCCCCAAAGCTGACCTGGGCCCCTCCTGCCTCAGGGTGTCAGTAGCTGAGCCCTTGAGGGGTGTAGATGGGTCTGGTGAGCACCAGGACCCCCCTCTACAGCAGGGGACAGAGTACTGGTGGTCCCCACAAACCTGAGGGCTGAACCCCCAGGGAAATCATCCCTGGGAGAAGGAGCTTTGAAAACAACGCTTCTCTTGGTATTTATTGGTCCGGGGCTGGTATGGAAAACTCCAGGCTTGCCCAGGATCAGGCAGCTCCATGTGTGTTTTTCCAAGCTGCTTGCGTCTCCCAGGCCGGAGGAGCACAGGCGGCTTGCTCTGCGGGGTGGCGGTGCAGGGCGCCCTCCCTGGCTGTGACAGCATGGCTTTCTCCCTGGCCGCTGGCCTCCTGTGTAAACTCCTTGTATGTTTGCTTTTTCAGTTCTAGGGAAAATCCGAACCGCAGTGGGCAGTGCCCAACTTCTCATGGCCCAGAAATTCTACCAGTTCAGAGAACTGTGTGAAGAAAACCTGGTAGGTAACCTTTCCTGGTCACCCCACTTCTCTGCTCCCGCAGGGCCTCACAAAAAACTTGGCCTCCGGACTGACCCAGATGACGTCAAACTGGTTCTGAACCTCATTCGATTTCGGCCCAAGCCTCACCTGGCTGGACAGGTTGTCTGATGAGTTGTCTTCCTGCTTATCTTCAAATTAAAAAATATTTATCTCATATAATCTTAGGAAGAAAAAAACCTCCATTTCTTGCATTTTTATAACTGGAAATTTTCCATTTTCCTGGCTTTCTCGTGAGAGCTCTGATTTTATTATTCTTAACCAAAATAAAAAGCAACCTGACATTTCAGAAATCATATTACAAAGAAAATCATTTTGGATGTTGATTCTTTTTCTAAAATAGCTGTCAGTGGCTATTTGCTAATCAAGTTTTTGCTTTAATTCTCAAGACCAGAGGCCAAGAGTATCACAAAGAATAGATTTGATCTCCCTGAAAGAAATGGGTACTCTGTACTTGTTGGACAAGCAAAACTAAAATAAAGCAAAATAAATAAAAGCATCACTACCAACGATAGCATTTTTAAAGCTGATTCCAAAATCAAAGGGCAAGAGCTTCTCAATTGAAGTTTTAAAATAAAAAATTGCTCCTGTCTCTATACACATAAACCCTCAAGAATAGCTTTTGTGGCTTAAGTGCTGGTCAAGATCCAAAGTAAAGAAAATGAAAAGCAATTTATTGATGTATAGAAGGCACAGACGTGGTCACTTGTAGCCTAAGTGATAGACTGTGACTTGGCGTCTTCACTCTGTGTCATGGCTACTTTCCCCTTTCCCCAGAAGAAAGTTGGTTTAGGAGGATGGACTAGAAATGACCTATCTAGACGGAGGACAAAGAATAATACAGAGTATGTAAAAGTTGGTACCTCCGTTCCTGTCCTCTCTTTCTAGGATCTCTCTCTCTGTCTCTCTCTCTCTCTCTCTCTCTCTCTCTCTCTCTCTCTCTCTCTCTCTCTCTCTCTCTCTCTCTCTCTCTCTCTCATAGTAAATGTATTGGTATGTGAATTGAATTCAACACATATTTTCTTGAGTGTCTGCTGTATGCCAGGTGTACAAATCTTGCTAGCTTGCAAAGCATGAAGGTGTCACAGGTCCTAGTTAATGTGCCTTCTCATGCAGGAAAGCTCCTCATGAAGCCTGTTGCTGTCACTCGGAGCAGCTGATGGGTGTGTGAGGCAGTCCCCAACAGGGATCGTGCAGAATGTCCTTGTAGAAAGCATTGCTTGGTGGTGGGGCCAGTTTACTACAAATGAGAAAGTAAATGTGCACATTTAAAGATGAATTGCAGGCCACATTTGTTTGTAAACTTCGCTGATTTCTAAGAAATGCTAGCCTTGGGAGAGCCGGCTTTTTTTTTTTTTTTTTTTTTTTTTTTTTTTTTTTTTTTTTTTTTTTTTTTTTTTTTTTTTTTGGTGGGGGGCGTGGTGGAACCAGGGATTGAACTCAGGCCCTTGCACTTGCCAGGGAAGCACTTATTCCACCAAGTCATCTCCCCGGCCCCTGGAGAGCCAGCTTTTGCCTATTCCTACTTCTTGTCCAGACCCACTGGAGACACAGAGAAACCAGATTCCCTGGCCACGAGAGAGGCTCTCGTGGTAGCATGTGAGAGTCGCTGTCCGAGGTGGACTGCTCTGCTGAGGTGGCTCTGTGAACGCAGCAATGACACACTGAGAGACAACAGTGTGGTCTACCCAGCCCCTGGAGGGATGGTCAGCAGCTCACCAGGCGCCATACTCCCTGTCCAGAGCGTCCCAGAGTGGAGTGCAACAGTGACATTATTTTTGATTTACAGAGGAAGAACATGGGCATGGAAAGGTGGAGAGACTTGGCAAACATGGAGCCAAGACTTGAATGCAGGCCGACTGTCCTCAGTCCCTGTCCATCCCACAGGGCACAGGGTCTCCACTCCCCTGTCCTCAGGGCAGCCTCAAGGTGGCACTACTCAGATCTACAGCGGCCTCAAAGTGGCTCCAGTTGGTCAGAACCAAACCCTTCCTTGAGTTCCTACTCTGAGAAGGACAGAAAGAGGAGCTCTGTGGAGAGCACACATTGTCCACATTGTCATGGGCTTGACTGCCTAGCAGGAATGCAGGAGAGATGGCTTTCCAGTGCGCTCGTTCCCGGGGGAGGAAGAGCACCTGCCCCTTGCCCCTGGGCCTCTGCGAGCCTCACTGGTTAGGAGAACAGCTGGGCACTCACACTCGTTTTATTTCTTCTTCTTCTTCTTCTTCTTCTTCTTCTTCTTCTTCTTCTTCTTCTTCTTCTTCTTCTTCTTCTTCTTCTTCCTCTTCCTCTT